CAGCGCCAAACTTTTTTTTTTTTTATTTGATAAAAAATATATATTTTACAAAATAAATTGGACTCTAAAATTGCTAGAAAATCAAAGCCATATGTCTAACCAAGTTATGTTCCAAATTTGAAGTTGATATCACAAAAATTGTGGTTCTTGTGAGATTTTGTTTGGGCACTATACCAGAAATAACCTCTGGGTGACACCCAAAATTATATATTTTTTGTTTTGATGCAGTTTTGTCACAAATGAATCATTTTCTGTCACAGTATAATTTCTATTACCAAATATAGAACCTTGACTGTCAGATATTTCCAACGATATGTGTTTTAAGATTACAAAAATGTTTATATCTTTATTAAACCCCTAAAAGGGCGACGTATCTCCTGAGATACAAATATTTAGAGACATATTACAAAATATGTAAGCATTTAATTAATAAAATTTCGAACCTTGACTGTCAGATATTTCCAACGATATGTGTTTTAAGATTACAAAAATGTTTATATCTTTATTAAACCCCTAAAAGGGCGACGTATCCCCTGAGATACAAATATTTAGAGACATATTACAAAATATGTAAGCATTTAATTAATAAAATTTAAATGTCAACCTAATAAGCTAATGCTGAACAACAGCTTTTTAACTAAAAAGATCAACTTTTATCAGAGGGTGAGTATTTGTGTGGGGAAGTATTTTTCTTCCTTAATTAGCAGAAACACCCCACAAGCACGGTTCCTCTCTGAATATGAGCCAGATTACAACTATTTGTTCAATTCTCAGCCCATTTTCACATGTAGAACATTATTATAAGCCTAATCCTGGATACAAGGTCTGAATTATGGCTAATGACAGAAATAAGTTTTCTGCTGCATCTGTAGATGATTTACAGCATCTAAACGGCTACAAAAAAGCTTCTTTTTCTAATTTAGTGAAGTTTAATTGAATATTTGATCAATTATTTTCATTTGTAGATTAAGTGTGGGATGTTTTAAATACCTTTTTTGGCATTAAAATGAAACTTGACATTTGACTGCTTTTATTTTGGTAAGTTACACAATTTGAAATCATTCTTATTTTGTGAAAACTACATGATGGAATTTTTTTTTTTATATATATAATAAAAAGGCCTGTGAAATCAAGCAGTTAGTAAAACAACCATAACATACAGATTACAGAATGTTTTACAGTCTTTTAATAACAAAACACGTTGAGTGCATTTCAAGCAGAGGTTCATCCAAAAATCCATCTTCCCTCATTAAATCCAAACCTTTTGACTATTTACTGTTCCATTCTTCACAATATAAGTTGTGTACAGAGTCATGTTTGGGATTACTTGAGGCTAAATGATTGTGGTTGTTTAGACTGTCCTTTAATCAACACTGACGATGTTTTGTGCTTTATTGAGCTGCGGTGACTCTGTGAGCTGCTGTAGTAGCTCTGTGTCTGCGTGTGTCGTCAGGTTGTGCAGCGGCTCCTTCAGCGTGTTGTGTGTGTCAGAGGGTCTCGGGTTTGAGGAAGCCGTGCTCTCAGTGTGAGCGTCCCGCGTGTGCAGCGTGTATCCGGCAGTGCAACATCTGCTCCGACCGCTGCTGCTCCCTGTGCACCATCACCGAGTGAGTCGACCACATTAAACACTGCTTTTGACTTCCTTTAATGGAATAGTTCACCCAGAAGTGAAAATGTGCTCGCCCTCAAGCTGTTTGAGATCTAGGTGAGTTTTTCTTCATCAGATTTGTAGAAATGTAGCATTGCATCAGTGTCTCAGCAATGGATGCTCTGCAGTGAATGGGTGCCGTCAGAATTAGAGTCCAAACAGCTGATAAAAACATCACAATAATCCACAAGTAATCCACAGCACTCCAGTCCATCAGTTAACATCTGGAGAAGACCAAAGCTGAAACAAATCCAGCATTAAGACGTTTTTAACTAAAATACGAGTCCATAATCCATAATAACGCTTCCTCCAGTGAGAAAGTACATCAAAATCCAGCCACATATGTGTTTAGAGCTGTTTAAACGCTGCTTGATCTGTGCAGATTTCTCTCCTGATTCAGACCAGAAAACTTTTTCACTGGAGGAAGCGTTATTATGGATTATGGACTCAATGTATTTTAGTTAAAAACGTCTTAATGCTGGATTTGTTTCAGCTTTTGTCTTCTCCAGATGTTAACTGATGGACTGGAGTGCTGTGGATTACTTGTGGATTATTGTGATGTTTTTATCAGCTGTTTGGACTCTCATTCTGACGGCACCCATTCACTGCAGAGCATCCATTGCAGAGATACTGATGCAATGCTACATTTCTACATACAAAACTCATCCTAATCTTGGATGATCTGAGGGTGAGCAGATTGTCAGCACATTTTGAAGAATCCCTTTAAAACAAAGCTCATATGCACGTTTGGGATGTTTAGTTTTGGATTTGCATGCTATACCAACAAACACGCACGATGCATAACTTTACTGTATTAGATCTATAGTTTCTGATTTTCTTCTGAACTCTCGTCTGTTTGTTCTCTGTGCTCAGTTACAGTGAGCGTTATGAGCGCGTCCTCTGCTGTGGCTGTTCATCCTGATAGCACTGATCAGAACAGACGACTGATGACCATTACGCCAGACAAGATTAAGGCATTACCAATTAAATGTAAATGAGATTACTATTTTATATATGCTTGCACTGTTTCTTGCTCTTTCCCTCCTTTTATGTACAAACTCCTATGATTATTGAAATAAATACTTGACATTAATACTTTCATAATTTGTGTGTGTGTGTGTGTGTGTGTGTGTGTGTGAGAGATTTATTTCCGGATGAATGTAATGTATCCCACTCTTCTTGCCACTTATTTAATATATAACTAATAATAGGTCTGATCTCAGAGGAATTATACATGTATGTGTGTGTCTAGATAGATATAGACACACACACTATATATATATATACAATTCCTCTTTGAGATCAGACCTATTATTAATTGTTATATATAAAATAAGTGGCAAGAAGAGTGGGATACATGTACAAATTATGAATTCCATTAAATCCATCCGTAAATTTCAAACAGATTTTTAATCTCTTTTAAAACTAAATTTGATCAAGTGGTATTTACTAGATGTTGCATAGGTCATACAAGACTGACTCATGCATTTTTGCTTGAAAGTAAAGACCCTACTCAATGCATGTTCTGCAAGATTCCCTTTTCTGTCAAACATATTTTATTGGACTGTCCCGCTTTTAATGCATGTAGAAAACTATTTTAACTCTAACTCACTTAAAGAGTTTAGTATAATTTTGCCAGAAAAAGTTTTAGAATGCATCATGCTAATGTAAAAAATCTTGTGTAATATAACCTGTTTGTTTGCTGGTTTTTATTGTATTTGTTATACTTGTTTTTTTTTGTTTTTGTTTTTTTCGTTTTTGCCATGAAAATAGCCTAAGATCCTGACATGGCAGTCGCTTTGGATAAAAGCGTCTGCTAAATGACTAAATGTAAACCTTTTTAATGATGGCGCTTTTTCTTTTAGAATGAAGTGGAAGTCTGTAAAAGTTGTTTAAAGTCAATGCAACAATTAATTTGACTTTAAATGATACTGGAACCAGAGGTCTGATGCTCCTGTAACACTTCGGGACACTAAAGTCAGACTTCTGTGTAAATTGGAAACGTTAAGCTCAATCAGACACTGAACCATCATACACAACTTCTTCTGGCTTGGAGCAACTGTGCTGTTTCATGCATAGAAAGAATCATAGTGTAACCATGGTACTGTAGTCTTTCATATTAGGGTTTAATTATGCTATTGAAAAATCTATTCTGCTCAGCGAGGCTTAATTTAATTGATCAGAAATACAGTAAAAATATTATTTAAAATGGCTGTTTTCTATGTGAATATCTGTTAAAATATAATTTATTTCTGGGTATTTACTAGATGTTGCATAGGTCATACAAGACTGACTCATGCATTTTTGCTTGAAAGTAAAGACCCTACTCAATGCATGTTCTGCAAGATTCCCTTTTCTGTCAAACATATTTTATTGGACTGTCCCGCTTTTAATGCATGTAGAAAACTATTTTAACTCTAACTCACTTAAAGAGTTTAGTATAATTTTGCCAGAAAAAGTTTTAGAATGCATCATGCTAATGTAAAAAATCTTGTGTAATATAACCTGTTTGTTTGCTGGTTTTTATTGTATTTGTTATACTTGTTTTTTTTGTTTGTTTTTTTTTCGTTTTTGCCATGAAAATAGCCTAAGATCCTGACATGGCATTAAATAAAAATATACTATATATACACACACACACACACACACACACTAGAGCTCATCGTTGGATGTCTTAACAGTGGTGTGATCAGGTTTGTCACTAGAGGGCAGCACCTGAATATAATACTTCATTAGTTTCTCACTGAACAGCTGTGTCTCAGGACTACCTTCACTGTCTCCTAGCAAAACCTGAATCATTAAAACTAAAAATAAACAAAATTCTCTAACACTAGCTTTTTCGCTGTTTTCTATGTGAATATCTGTTAAAATATAATTTATTTCTGTGATGCGCAGCTGTATTTTCAGCATCATTACTCCAGTCTTCAGTGTCACATGCTGCTCAAGAAACATTTATTATTATTAACAATGTTGAAAACAGTTGTGCTGCCCAATACTTTTGTGGAAACTGATTCATTTAATTTTTTCAGGATTCACAGATGAATAGAAAGTTCAAAAGAACAGCATTTATTTGAAATAGAAATCTTTTCTAGCATTATAAATGTCTTTACTGTCACTTTTGATCAGTTCAGTGCATCCTTGAAAAAAAAAAATCTTACTGACCCCAAACCTTAATGGCATTGAATTATTGTTTTAAGGATTATTTGTCCATTACAATTTGCTTTAAAAAAATACTAAAAGTAGGTTAAATAAAGAGCAGACGCTCTTTACTGCACATGACTGTTTGTTTTTGGGTTATATGACAAAATGTTTCCTCTAATATGTGTTATTTTCATGAATATTTTAATATTGCATTTCTTTACATGCTCTCGCTATTAAACACGCTGCTCGTAAATCAGGGATATTGTTTGGCTGCAACCCAAATCAAACACACCTGCCTGTAATTCTAAATAATGATGCAAATTTGGGTCTGTTCCTCACAGAAAGCATCATATGACTTTAGAAGACGTTGAATGTAGCAGACTAGTTGTATGAACTACTGTTATGAAACTTTTACATCCTTTTTGAAGCTTGAAAACGTTCATTTCGTAATTGTGTGGAAGATCGACACTGACTTCAGCATCTCCACAGATGTATGAAGGTGAGTAAATGATGACGTGATCTTTTAATATAGATCATGATATTGAGGGCAGGAGTCTTCATGCATGCTGTGGAGATGGAAAAGCAATTAGATGTTCCTGACACTCCTCCTGTTCTTTTGTGTGTGCTCCTCTGCAGCTGTCCAGACTTTCATCACAAGCGTTTTACTGTAAAACGTCACAGCCGTGACTTCCGAGGCGGCTCCTCTTTCCCAAAGCCACATGCCAGGGACCCCTGAAGGCCTGCTGGGCCCCGCTGACTCCTGGACGCACTTAAGTCCAGGCGTGTGGCTCTGCATCACCCCCCATTTGTACAGAGCAGCTGTGCGCAGACACACAGCCGGCTGCGGTGATGCGGCTGCTATAAATACGTGTGCGTGTAGTGAAGGAGTGACAGCTGTGCACTGGACTCTGCTCCTCCAGCAGCTCACGCTCCATATGGGACAAGGACATGCTACTAAAATCCCCCTTCTTATAGTCAACTTTTGATTTCCATGAGTTTGATTTCCATGAGTTCAAACATAGTCAGTTTGCTATGCATAATTTCACGATTCAATGATGTTCTATGTGGTTGTTGACAAAATAATGCATTTTGTAGCTGTTCTGAGTGGTTGCTAGGGTTTTTGAGTGGTTGCCAGGGTGTTCTAGGTGGTTGTTGACAAGTATCATATCGTGTAATCGCTCAGTCAGTGTTTCAACTGTGGAAAGGCAAAGAATGCATTTTGTAGCTGTTCTGAGAGGTTGCTAGGGTGTTGCTAGAGTTTTCTGAGTGGCTGTTGACAAAAGAATGCGTTTTTAGCTGTTCTGAGTGGTTGCTAGGGTTTTCAGAGTGGCTGTTGACAAAAAATGCATTTTGTAGCTGTTCTGAGTGGTTGCTAGGGTGTTGCTAGGGCTTTCAGAGTGGCTGTTGGCTAAAGAAGGCATTTTGTAGCTGTTCTGAGTGGTTGCTAGGGTGTTGCTAGGGCTTTCAGAGTGGCTGTTGGCTAAAGAAGGCATTTTGTAGCTGTTCTGAGTGGTTGCTAGGGTGTTGCTAGGGCTTTCAGAGTGGCTGTTGGCTAAAGAAGGCATTTTGTAGCTGTTCTGAGTGGTTGCTAGGGTGTTGCTAGGGCTTTCCGAGTGGCTGTTGACTAAAGAAGGCATTTTGTAGCTGTTCTGAGTGGTTGCTAGGGTGTTGCTAGGGCTTTCAGAGTGGCTGTTGACAAAAGAAGGCATTTTGTAGCTGTACTGAGTGGTTGCTAGGGCTTTCCAAGTGGCTGTTGACAAAAGAATACATTTTGTAGCTGTTCTGAGTGGTTGCTAGGGTTTTTGAGTGGTTGCCAGGGTGTTCTAGGTGGTTGTTGACAAGTATCATATCGTGTAATCGCTCAGTCAGTGTTTCAACTGTGGAAAGGCAAAGAATGCATTTTGTAGCTGTTCTGAGAGGTTGCTAGGGTGTTGCTAGAGTTTTCTGAGTGGCTGTTGACAAAAGAATGCGTTTTTAGCTGTTCTGAGTGGTTGCTAGGGTTTTCAGAGTGGCTGTTGACAAAAAATGCATTTTGTAGCTGTTCTGAGTGGTTGCTAGGGTGTTGCTAGGGCTTTCAGAGTGGCTGTTGACAAAAGAAGGCATTTTGTAGCTGTACTGAGTGGTTGCTAGGGCTTTCCAAGTGGCTGTTGACAAAAGAATACATTTTGTAGCTGTTCTGAGTGGTTGCTAGGATGTTGCTAGGGCTTTCCGAGTGGCTGTTTTATAAAAAAAAAAATGCATTTTGTAGCTGTTTGGAGTGGTTGCTAGGGCTTTCCAAGTGGCTGTTGATAAATGAATGCATTTTGTAGCTGTTCTGAGTGGTTGCTAGGGTGTTGCTAGGGCTTTCAGAGTGGCTGTTGACAAAAGAAGGCATTTTGTAGCTGTACTGAGTGGTTGCTAGGGCTTTCCAAGTGGCTGTTGATAAATGAATGCATTTTGTAGCTGTTCTGAGTGGTTGCTAGGGTGTTGCTAGGGCTTTCCGAGTGGCTGTTTTATAAAAAAAAAAATGCATTTTGTAGCTGTTTGGAGTGGTTGCTAGGGCTTTCCAAGTGGCTGTTGATAAATGAAGGCATTTTGTAGCTGTTCTGAGTGGTTGCTAGGGTGTTGCTATGGGTTTTGAGTGGTTGCCAGGGTGTTGCTAAAGTATTGTGAGCATTTATAGCTTGTTGAAACAAGTATGCAATTTCAAGATGTTCTGAGTGGTTGCTAGGGTTTTCGAGTGGTTGCCAGGGTGTTCTGGGTGGTTGTTAACAAAAGAATGCTTTTTTTTGCTGTTCTGAGTGGTTGCTGGGGAGTTTCTAGGGTGTTCTGAATGGTTGCTAGGGTGTTGCTGGGTGGTTGCTAAAGTATTGTAAGCATTTATAGCTTGTTAATACAAGTATGCAATTTAAAAATATTCTGAGTGGTTGCCAGGGTGTTCTGGGTGGTTAACAAAAGAATGCATTTTCAAGTTGGTCTGAGTG